ACTTGTTGCAAAAAAAATGAGACGTAAATTGAGCACCTTGATCAAATACAATTTTTTTGGGAACTTCATGTAGACACACTATCTTCTCTATATATAATTGGGCCAACTTCGGTCCTTTATAATGAGTCTTGACCGGTATAAAGTGAGTAATCTTAGTTAACCGATCCACTATCATCCATATTGAATCATAACTTCTCTGAGTGTGTGGTAACCCAACAATAAAATCCATACCAACTTCTTTCCACTTCCATTCTGGTATCTTCATTGGTTGCAATAATCCTACAGGTCTTTGATGTTCCGCTTTAACTCTCTGACATGTATCACATATAGCAACATATTCAGCCACATCCCTCTTAAGTCCATACCACCAATACTTCTCTTTCAGATCTAAATACATCTTGGTACTCTTAGGATGAATAGAGTAAGCAGACTCATGTGCCTCACGAAGAATTGTATCCCGTATAGTCTTATTCTCAGGCACACATAGTCTTTTCCCAAACCACAGAGTTCCATTATCAACCATACGAAAACCTAGTGCCTTACCAATCATTATGTTCTCCGCTATTTCCTTTAACCTCTTATCCTGTAACTGACCCTTGCGTATCTCTAACTCCAATGTAGGCTCTATCACCAACTCTACTGCATTAGTGATGAAACCCAAATTTAGTTGCTTAAGTTCAGCACATAACTCACTTGACATAGATGCCACTTGCACCTCATTAGCGTAACTCTTCCTGCTAAGAGCATCGGCAACAACGTTCGCCTTTTCAGGATGATAGTGTACTACCATATCGTAATTCTTAATGAACTCCAACCATCGACGATGTCTCAAGTTCAGATTTGTCTGAGTGAAAATGTACTTCAAACTCTTGTGATCAGTATAGATATCACTCTTATGTCCGATAAGATAATGCCTCCATATTTTTAGAGCATTAACCACTGCTGCTAACTCCAAATCATGAATAGGATAGTTTAGCTCATGCTTTCTCAACTATCGGGATGCATAGGCCACTACTCTTCCTTCTTGCATAAGAACACATCCGAGACCTTGACGCGATGCATCACAATAGATAGAAAAGTTCTTGCTCAAATCTGGCAAAACCAATACTGGGGCTGTAGTCAATCTTTTCTTCAATTCCTCAAAGTTAGTCTAGCACTTTTCGGACCACACAAACTTAGCATTTTTCTCCAACAGAGCTGTCATAGGCTTGGCAACTTTAGAAAAGCCTTCTATGAACCTTCTATGGTATCCAACCAGTCCTAAGAAACTACGAATCTCTTCCACATTGGTTGGTGGTTTTCAGTTCAACACATCTCTCACCTTGCTTCGATCTACTGCTATTCCACCATTAGAGACAACATGGCTTTGGAAAGAAACTTCCTTCAACCAAAACTCACACTTGCTTTGCTTAGCGTACAACTTGTGTTCCCTGAGCTTCTGCAAGACCAACCTTAGATGTTCAGCATGCTCTTCTTCCGTCTTGGAGAATATCAATATATCATCGATAAATACCACCACAAACTTATCCAAAAACTCCATGAATACCTTATTCATCAAGTACATAAAATATACAGGTGCATTGATCAATCCAAAGGACATAACGGTGTACTCATACAAACCATACCTCGTAGTAAAAGCTATCTTGGGTATGTAAGTTGCACGAATCTTCAATTGATGATAACCAGAACGAAGATCAATCTTAGAGAAAACACAAGCACCTCTCAACTGATCAAACAAGTCATCATTTTAGGTAGCGGGTACTTGTTCTTGATAGTAACCTCATTTAGTGACCGATAATTAATACACATCCTCTGGGTACCATCCTTCTTGTCAACAAATATAACCGGTGCTCCCCATGGTGACAAATTAGGACGAATGAAACATTTCTCCTGTAACTCCTTTATTTGTTTCTTAAGTTCCCCTAGTTCATTAACCCCCATTCTATATGGACGCTTGGCTATAGGTGCAGTTCCAGGTAATAATTCAATAATAAACTCAATGTCACGGTCAGGTGGCATACCTGGCAAGTCATCGGGGAACACATCCGAAAACTCATCCACTACTAGGTCCTCCTTGTTGACGCTATCATCAAGCTGGTTCACTGTGGCTGTTTGCTGCTTCTACACTACAACATCGACACTGATTCTGTCCCCATTAGGTGCGGTCACAACTACCTTCTCTTGACACTAAATTACTGTCCGGTTTTGCTTCATCCAATCCATACCCAGAATCACATCAATGCCAGATGTTCTCAACACAATGGGGCTCACTTTGAACTCTACCCCCCTTAAAGATAGACTAGTTGGAAGACAACAATAAGAAGCTTGCATACTACCTCCTGGTGAGTTTACTATTATAGGATTTTTCATGGCACATAAGGATATGCTATGCGTTCTAACAAATGCTTGTGATATGAAAGAATGTGAAGCTCCAGAATCAAAAAGAACAGTGGCAGGAGTAGAATTGACATCAAACGTACCAAGCATGACTTCTGGTTCTGCAATCGCCGTCTCTGTAGACACATGATTCACCTTTTCCATGTTGGGTGCTGGCTTCTGAGGCGTTCCTTTTGGATTACTGTGCTGACCCTGGGGTCTTAGCTGATTCTGCTTCCTAGGGCAATGGTTGGCATAATGCTCAACTTCTCCACAATGATAGTATACATTGGGGGTGCTAGGTGCACTGGTCTTCATGAGAGTGTTGTTAGGCACTCCCTGTCGTGGTGTCTATTGGCCACTCTGTTGCTAGGGACGTTGATTGTCATTCTGCTACTGGTACGGTGGACGCTGCTGGTTTGGGTTACGATTCCATTGATTAGGAGGTCCCTGGTACCTCTGCTGGAAACTTTGTTGAGGGTTGATGCGCGAACGAGTATTACTCCCAGAGGCCTACCCCTGAAGCCTCCTCTTATTAGCCTCCATCTCTTTGCGCTTATTGTCAATAACAATAGCGCGATTCACCAGCATTTAGAAATTGAGGTATGTATTGGACATAAGCTGGAGTTGCAGACCATCATACAAACCCTTGAGAAAGTGGCGTTGCTTATCAGCATCATCAGTCACCTTATTCGGAGCGTAACGTGACAACTGAGCAAATTTGTCACGATACTCAGCTGTAGACATAGATCCCTATTTCAGAGTTCTGAATTCCTCCTACTTCAGCTCTATCAATCCTTCAGGTATGTGGTAGGATCTAAAATTCTCTCTAAACTCCTGCTAGGTGATAGGAGGGGCATTAGTGGGACGTCCATGCTCAAATGCCTTCCACTAGTCTTGAGCTTCTTACTGGAATTGTCCTGACGCGTACAACACCTTCTGCTGGTCGTCACACTGCGCTATGTTAAAGTTGCTTTTCCACTGCACGAAGCCAATCATCTGCTTCTAGTGGATCAGTGGCATGTGAAAACACCAGGGGGTGGCCCTTCAAGAATTCACCGCGCTTGTCACGCGGTACTCTACCAATTGGTTGATTCTGCTAATTCTGCACTACCAGAAGTTGCTCAATAGTAGGTGGAGGTGGTGGTGGTGGATGCGGAGGAATACCTCCACGACCTCGGTCTCTTCCTCTTCCAGACATCTGACATCCAACATAAATATTCAAAATTTAGAGATTTTCATGTTACAGACACTTATAGGGATATAGAATACATTCTGAAAATTTTCAAGACGGGTTCCAACATCAGCAGCTTGGTAAAACAGTCATATCTCGAGTTCCAAATATCCAAAAGAGGCGTTATTTATAAGGTTGGAAAGATTAAGAAATTATCTACAACTTTTATTCAGATCACATGCCCAGATTCTATCGTTAGGTTAATCAAAAATAGGACAAAACCAAAATTATTTTAGATTCCAGACTGCGCAGAAACTTTAACTTGAAATAGCTATATCTCTCAAATCAGATCAGATATAGGAGTGATTCCAGAGACATTAGAAGTATACTTAAGTCTAATTATTCCCATAAAAATTTCATAAGACTTGGAGCACACACCGAATGGAGTCGTGGCGGCTGCGGAGTCGAGGCAGCGGAGTCCAACGCGGGTACGATTCCAGGTTGAAGATAACACTGACATGCGGGACTCATCGGTCAGCGAGACCAAGCAAAGAGAGAGGGAAACGACATGGGCGACGCTGGGCCGACCTGCTGGGCCGCTGCGGGAGAGAGGGAGCAGGCCGCGTGGATGACGGATTTGGCCACAACAGAGAAAAGAAAACTGGAGCTGGCCAGAAGGAGAGGAAGAATTCTCTTTTTTTCAATTTCATTTTCAAATCCAAATTAAAACCAAATTCAAATTCTTTTGCAAATTTTGATCAAACCCAAGCATCACAAAATTAAGTATGCATGGACATGAATGCACAAACATGTGGCTAGACCTTATATTTGATTTTAACTTTAACTAAATTGTTATTTTTCTAAATTTAAATGCTCACAAAATACATAATTAAATCAAATTTACCTATTTTAAATTGATATAAATTTTAGGGTGTGACACTAATCTTTTACTGGTAATATTTAGGTAATATTTATAGGGCGACCTTGAAAAAAGACGATTTCATTTGCCACACTTTCCACTGAACTTCTGCATTAGGTCTTATTTGGATGCTCATATATGGATGAAAATCTATCCACGAGCATCCAAAGTCCTTATGAAAATCCACGATACCATGTAGTCCGGAAATCATAATAACAGGGAATATAAAAAAAAAAGTCACACTTCCCTGATACGAAGGAGCAATTAATGACAATTTTGTGTGTAACTGGAAAGTTGCATATGATTTTACTGACAAAAACGGATTGCGCATCTATATAGATCTGCAACGCAAATCTAATGCTCTATCAAGTATCAATTGTGATGCCGTAGATTGGACGACCTATCTACAAACCTCTGTTTGAGGTGGTGGTGGCTTTTACAAAGATTTTGCGGGACATCCTTGGAAGTTGGAACTCACGGGAGGTCAACCCTATGGAGCATGATGTACCAAATTGAGATCTCTAGCAAAGCTCATTCTTCCAACTCCTTCAGAAAATCTATGTTATCGACAAACACCTGCAATATTGAAAAGAATGTCTATCATTGGCAAGAATATCCACAACGAAAAATGCCATCAAAAATTATATATTCCAAATAAATATACATATCTTTTCATTCTGACAATGATCTGTATACTGTATGTATTTTGGGTTATTTCAATGATCAATTTGAATAAGTAACAAAAAAAATATTTCTAGTATTTGATAAACTTACCTGATGCCGCAGAAATCAGCAATTAAAAAAATACACCATTTGCATAACTTAAAATATAACTCAATAAAATCAATAATGTGGAGACTCAAGAATTCTATCAAAACTTACACAACTGATAAATCAATCAAAAATATATGATCTTTAAACACTTCAATACTTGGTCACAAAGCAACACTAATATCAATTTTTGTATAGAGTAACTTACCATTCGACTTAGAACACACTATTTTACAGTGGTATGCTTTATGGGTTTGTTATTTGCTTTGTGATAGGACAAACTATTAATAATGAGGATCTACCAACAGTCAAGAGACATCAACATTAAAGGTAAACACTCTCCATTAAAGCCACAGGGAACACTAGGTTATTCAACCAGATTTTGGTGCTCAGTTAGCTTAGAGTCAACAGAAGTTAACTCGGTTGATTCCACTAGCAACTCAAGCTTTTCTTCTTCTACCTTGTACAAATCCACTGGCTACCCATTGCCGTACCCAAACTATACCCGTATTGATTGGGTAGGGCTACCCATTTGTTTCTGGATATGGGTAGGATAACAGCAGGTATTACCCACTTATCCTTTACCTAGCAGCTATATGTTGGTTAGCTACTCAGTCCGTCATTCCCGAGGGCGGACAAGTGATCTTCTCCTCCATTGCTCTGTTTTGTCCCTTCTCTCCTCAAGGACCTGCTTTCTATCCTAATAAGCCATGTGCAGCAGCGACCATGCCAAGCTGCCGCCAAACATCTTGTCAAGTGCGATGACAAGATCCATGGCAAGGGGCGTGCCGAGGCGGGGACCCGCCAACAGCTAAAACATGTCGCCACTGACCGCCTCCAATGCACCTCGGCCACTACGTCACCATGCACGACCGCTCTAGTCTTTCCTGCCAACGCTTCCAGCCATGAATGCAAGCACCAAAGAGCCCTGCATGGTCTTTGGCGCCATCGTCTCCTCAGGGATCCTATAGCCCATCGTGCAAGGCAAAACAAGGGAAATGGTACACAGACGCTTCACCGTCCAGCCTGAGGACTGAACGGGTCTCCTTAGTGCTTAGGGACTGCCTGTTCTAGCTCACCACTGTCAGCGTCATGGCAGCACAGAGCTTCCAGTCAAGGCCATGATGACGACCAGCACACCAGAACTTCCAGAGCTACCAGATGCCCACCCATGTTGCTCTCGCTGGCTATGCTCTCTTGGCAGCCATTGCCACCATCTTCATCTTCTGCGCATGGGTCCGCAAAGTGTCTGGCGACGCCATTGCCGGTCTCACTCTCCGACGGCGGCGTGGTCGTCGTCATCACAAATTCCCTCTGAGCTCATGCATGTCTTCCAAGTCAGCCTACCTAACGCTCCCCTTGATGTTGTCCACGAATGCAAAGCGCCGAAGAGCCCAACCTCGAGTGCAGCGGCGATCAGCAGCACGTCCTCGGCTGCTAGCTCATGACTCGTGTGTGGGATTGTGACTGCTGCGATCAACGCGCTCTTGTCCATTGGATTTTCTATAGCTGTTGGGTATTATCCAACCCATTTGGAGATGGATAACCCATGGGCATCATTATGATCAACCCATTAGGGCCCATGTGATGGAGCAGCCGGAGGCCATGCTAGGAGGCAAACTACACATGGGCGTTTACTGTTAATGAGATGCCCATGACAATTACATGATATATGCATGTCATCAAATGAAATGAAGAATATGTAATCTATCAGTTTTGCTTATCCTGATTTACTGAAAAAAAATGGACAAAGGCACTATAAGCAAACATGCCACCTAGGAACAAATATCCTTTTGTAACCACTTACAATAATAATTTCCTGCCTCAGCCCCTCCACAAAGGAAAAGAGAAGAGTAGAAATGTAGTTTTCACACTAAAACAAGAGGAAAAGGCACATACTGTTTTCCAGCCATCTGGATCTGTGCATGCAGTTATCTTGGTGTTAATGCCAGGTAACGGACCAGGTTCACGAGTAATTTTTCCACCATTTACTCTAATTGCTTCCGCAGTCTTGTAGACATCATCAGTACTAATAGCAATCTGGAAGGAAAATAGCCAAACTCCATAGATGTAGCAAGAGGAAAAAGGCCAATTGAAGAATGCTCGTATTATTGTACAGAACAGCAAGGTTCAAATGTGAAGAATGAAAGAAAATATACCTGTGCATAAGCATTTCCCTTATCATATTCCTTCACCCCATAGTTGTAGGTCAACTCCAATACAGCATTTTTTTCTTCTGGACCATATCCCATCATCGCAATTGTATACTAAAGAAAAGTATCAATAGTTATTGTATACAGTAACATGAATAGACCAAAGGTGTATACTCCCTCCGTCCCCAAATATAAGGCGCGATTTGACTTGGTGCGGCCTTCAAGAACATATTTTGACCTATAATTCCTCTTATTATATATAATCTATAGGAACAAAAGTTTGATCATTAGAAAGTATTTCTAAATACAAATCTAATATAACTATTTTTGTAACACAAACTTTTGATATAATTAGGCTAATTGTTAGTCAAAGATAACGAAGTTTGAATTTTGAAATATGTGCATGCCTTATATTTGGGGACGGAGGGAGTATATTGCATGAAACAATCATGATCTCATATGGATAACATTACAAGTGATCAACTGGATGAGGAATATGCAAAATTTGGTTACGTAATATAATGAAATAGAGATCGAAGCTTGTAGACACAACCATCATGATCCATCCCATGATGATTGGACATGCATTGGAACTGTTCCACTCAAACCAATATGTAGCATATGAACTGTGCCTGCGGCTAGCTCGGTTTGTGGGAGGTGTGGGTCTACACCCCCACCACCCATGATTGTGTAATTGTGTCATCTTCAAACTCGAATTCGGGTGCCACCTAATTCCTCCTAGTTTAAAGAAACCAAAATGTGGCATCATAAGTCCATTGCAATTAGGCTCTACTCCTATGTGGATGGAACACAGCCAGGCTTACAAAGATCTAACTTGTTTTGGTCAAACCCATAAGGGGAGCATAATGGAAACTGTTCCACTCAAACCAATTTGTAGCATATGAACTGTGCCTGCGGCTAGCTCGGTTTGTGGGAGGTGTGGGTCTACACCCCCACCGCCCATGATTGTGTAATTGCATCATGTTCAAACTCAAATTCGGGTGTCTGCTTATTTACAGTGCCACCTAATTCCTCCTTGTTTAAAGAAACCAAAATGTGGCATCATAAGTCCATTGCAATTAGGCTGTACTCCTATGTGGATGGAACACAGCCAGGCTTACAAAGATCTAACTTGTTTTGGTCAAACCCATAAGGGGAGAATAATGGATGGACTGGGCTGGTTTTCAATAGCCTGGGGAGAGAAATTAGCAGGCTGATCATGTTGGGCTGCTTGGTTTTCATGTGATTGGATGGTTTCTAGTAGAAGGCTCATCAACAACTTTGAAACCCTAGCAGTGATTCTGGTGTCCAAAATAAATAATGAGAAAACCTTAATAAACCAGGCAATGGCTCCATCGAGCCTCAAGCTATCATCCAAACTACAAATCCCATACATGGCATTCTGCAGCTTTGTGATGGCTTCTTAGTCAAATGTTCTAGGCTATGCCCATGAATGCCAAAGAAGCCCACCACTCCATAGCCAGTGAGGTGTTGCTTGTGCTTAAGTCCAACTGAAGGAAGAAATCATGAAAGTGATACGAGTAATTGCCGAAGCACAGCAAGCAAGGGAACTGAGAACAGTGCTGCCGCTCCCAGAGCGGTGAGTGCATCAAAGAATTAAAACAGCCCTGCTGCTACCATAAGACGGTGAACAGTGAAATAACATGTCAGAGAAGCATCACAATCATATGAATTCACTGCCTTCCCAGTTGCAGTCAACAGTTCATTGGTAGGGACCAAGGAAATGGAAACCAGAAAATAGCTGGGTTAGACAGTAACCCAATCAAGCTCATTTAAACTCATTACCCATGAAAACAGCTTGGTGAAGGCTGGTATTTGCCTTTTGTAACCTTACAAACTTTTGTCACTAATGTCAAGTTTGAAACGAATGAAACTGAGCAGCTACAGCTCATTTAAACCCATTTAAACCCTATACCATGCTAAAGAACATATAAAAATATATCACAAAAAAAAGAGGCAACACCTTGATAGTGGCTACCATTTAAACCTTCAGGTAGACCAAGCTACATCACATGTATATTATAAAACATGCAACATATACTTGAAAAGAGGGGATGCGTATGCAACTAAAGAGCTGCTTATACCAAAAGAATGAAGTAGAAAAAAAACAGCCCCCAAGTACCAAGCTTACAAAGTATATGGCATCAGTCATTGGCAACCATTCCATGTACAATAGTCAGACAATAGAGATTTTTACATGAAATTTATCATAAGCATGCTTATATCACAAGCCTAAATCTAGTGCAGAAAAGAAAGGGAAAAATTGTCACAAACTATGAAATATCTAGTAGTAGAAATGGTACTGTGTTATATTAAACTTCAATTAATAGATACCCATCTACATTTAATATATTTCTGGTACTTTCAAAGTAAGACACATGTATTCTATCAGCAAGCTCCACATAAAGTTCTTATAGCAAACAAAAAGTGATGATGTTCGTTCATGGGTGGTTTCGAAAGGTACCAACCTTGTACTCAGGATTGTCTCGCTTGCGAAGAAGTTCCATGCCAAATGCCTTTGTAATATTACAGAATGAATCAGTGACTTGTTTCAAAATTAGAAATGAGCAAACTCAATATCAGTTTTAGTTCACGCAGATAAGTTACCTTATCATAGAAATTTATAGCACGATCAAGATCTCCCACTCGAAGCATTACCTGGCACAAAGGCTCAGGAGTAGGACCTCTTTCTATAAGCTCAAACTTGTAACCATCAGGATCCTCAATAAAGGCAATTACTGATTTCCCACCTTTGACAGGACCTGGCTCCCTTGTGACTGTTCCTCCTTTTGCTTTAATAAGTTCTACCGTTTTTGCAACCTGCAATTTTCAAGCATTGAAATTCAAGGTGCCAAACTAGTTCATATTCGAGTATCAAAGATGTTGTCAATGGATAACAACATAGCATGTCCAATTCTTTGTAATAACTTGGGTGATACATCACGGCTAGCTTTCAGTAAAGGACATGGGTGTTATATTAGTTATCAGGGTACAGAAGTTTTATCTTTATAACTCGCAGAGAATATTTTACATGCATACATGTGGACTTTGCTGTAAGGACATATTACAGCAAAAAAAAAAGGATTAACTCCCTATATTAAAATGAGCTTCTTACTTTAATTTATGCACGTAACTAGCAAGTGCCAACAACCCATTATAGCCTTTTTTCTTGTGAAAGAACTGTATCTTGTACCATTTCGTCTTTATATTTATATGAAATCCTATGATAAGGAAGCAATATCCATTTTCTGTGTACTGAGATCCTGATTGAGTATGCAGAATCTAGTCTTTGATTATATCTAGACTCTAGACGGGTTAGTCCCAAATGAGAAACCCTTAATCAATTGGGGCTTATTTATTTTCTTGAAAGTAAAAGGAAAATACAGGTTGCCTTTGGTGCTAAAGCGTGAAGCAACTTGGGACCAATCCTAGCAAACCAAACCAATAAACAAACTCTTCATAATTCTCTATGCAACATCGCTGACTCAAGAAAACAGAAAAAACAACATTACACTGCATCAGCAGAGAACTGAACGCCAGTGAGTAAAATGGAGAATGTCCATAGAGATATAAGCTTACTGCTTACATCCTCAACAGCAATTCCAAAGTGGCCAAAAGCAGTCCCAATGTCATAGCTCTCCACACCATAATCTGCCAGGAAAAGTACACAAGGGGTTTTATATGTTAAATCACAACAGCCAGTGCCATTATCTGATTGACAGAGATGCTTTAAAGGTATTTTGACCAAAGAAGCTTACTGTAAGTGAGCTCCACAACAAAATGCGAATCCTCAGGCCCGTACCCCAGAAAGGCATTGGTGTACCTCTCCTCCGGAATGTCCCTCTTCCTCAGCAGCTTCATGCCCAGGCACTCCGTGTAGAACCTACAGATATACGATAATAATCTCATCCAAATTGGAGCAAACAGCAGTGACCCCCAAAGCAATCCGTCGCAAGCACCATGTCCTACTTGATCGTCTTGTCGAGGTCCCCGACGCGGAAGACGACGTGGAGCAGGCGCCTCCGGTCCTTCTTGACCCACTCCATGGCCTCCTCCTGCCCGACCACCGTGCCGGCCGAGCCGCCAGCCTCCGCGCCGGCGCACAACCCGCGCTTAGCAAGCCTCGCGGGCGCCCTCACCACTCCTCCTACCACCCTTCCCCCGAAGAGACACTCGCGCCGCGCGACTGAAACGACAGGAACCGCAATACGTCACACGGGGGTGCCCCACCCAAGGTCGATAGATAGCCGGCGAGGGGCTCGGATAAGGATGCGCTGCGTACCGGAGACCGCGGGGAGACGAAGGCGGGAGGCGGCGAGGTGGAGCGATGAGGCAGAGGCGGCGGCGGCGGCCGCGAAGGGGAGGGGGAGAAGGAGGCGCGCGCGCGCCATCGTGGCGAGGGATTTGGAGAAGACGAGGAGCACGGCGGGAGGGGGAATCGAGAGGCCGCTCGCTCTATCTTGCCATCAGGGCGCGGGGCTTGGATCTGTCGGGGCCGTCAGTGTGCCTGCCAGGTGGGGCCGGTCACGGGACGCCGACGTGCGAAACCTTTGACGCTCACTGTATATTCACTGTTTATACAGTATAGCTGTAATCGACCCAAGGTTTTCAATTTCGGTACATTAAAAAAGGGATAATTGTCATTTGGACATCAAAGTGATGGTCCTTTGCTGGTGGATATCCACTTTGGAGTATTTTGCCAGAAGACAATCTGGTTCGGTAAAATTAAGCCACAGGACACCGCAGACCGGTTGAGCAGAGAGAACAGCGGTGAAATGACATTCTTGCCCCTACCGCTTTCTTCTTCCTCTCTCCCTTTCTCTTTTTTTCTATTTCCTGTCCATGGTGGGGCCGTGGGGCGCACTCGAGTAGGCGGGGCTGCCGGGGCGCCACGACCGCCGACCAACCGCCTCCCACCGTTGACGTCGTACGCCGACGGATGAGGACCACAGCTGTCGCCGAGCTGTGCCCTGCCCCATTGACGGCAAATATTTTCGGCGAACTCGGTTGCCCCTCAGCTATAAAAGCCGACCGTGGCTGCGGAGGCCTCGCCTTGCCCCGCGCCGTGAGCTCCCACCGCATGAGCTAAAGTCGCTGCCGTCGACGTCGCGCGCCGTCGATGTGCTTTGCTCTGCTCGTTTCCCCTCCCTAGTCACCTTCTCCCCTCTGCTTCTCTTTCCCTTACCCTGCTTCTCTTTCCTTCTCTGCTCTGCTCTCCTCCACGTCAGGCGCCGTCACCGTGAGCCACTCGGTTAGCTCGCACCGGAGCTCCGACCGGCCTCGTGCCGGAGTGGAGCGCCGCCGCGACCGCCGTCGCTTGCGCCTGACGCCGTCAGCCTCTGCGCTGCCCTCACCTCGCACTAGCCGCGCGCTGCCACCACCCTCGCTAGCCACGACACCGCCGCCGTGCTCTCCCCTGCTCCATCTCCATCTCTCTCCCTCTGCTTGCTCGCTCTCTTTCTTTCCCCTTCCTTTCCCCGCCTTGCTCTGCTCCTCCCGTCTAGAGCCACAGCCGTCAGAGCTGAAGGCCGCGCCCAGGCCAGGACGACGCCGGAGCCGAGCGCGCCCTGTGCCTGACGGCGCCGTGCTCTGCCCAGGCAAGGGCGAGGCAGAGAAGTGGGCGAGGCCGTGGGGACTCGGCTCATGGCGGCAGCAGGTCAACGGGCTACAGCAGGCTACAGCGGCGCACGAGCTCTGAAGCAGACTCCTCCACCACACCAAGCTACCGGGCCCGTCCTGCTCCGCGCTTATCTTCGAGGCGTCGCCACCCACTTGCGCCCGCGCTGACCTAGAGAAGGGGCACTCATGTGCTGCTCTAGGCAAAGGAAGCTGGCGGTGGGGGAAGCTGCCTCGTCGGTGACCACGCACGGAGAGATGCGGCGTAGCTCGTCTGTGGCCGGGGATGCACGACCTCCACCGCGCGAGGAAGTAGAGAGCACGAGCAGAGGAGGCACAGAGTCGCGGTGAGAAGAGGAGAAGAGGAGGAAGAAGTAGATGATAGGTGGGGACCGCGCGTCAGTGAGAGGGAGGGGTGAACCCAACTGTGACTCAGGGGCACCGGATGTCAAAACGAAAATTTCTCTCTTCTCAACCGGCTGCAACCGGTCCACGGTGTCCTGTGGCCTAATTTCACCGAACCAGAGTGTCTTTTGGCAAACTGCTCAAAACGGGATGTCCGCCAGCAAACGACCATCACTTTGGATGCCCGCTAGACAATTATCCCTTAAAAATCGCCATAAAGTATGCTTTTCTAAAGAAATCTATATCTAAACAGATATTAGACTATCCTTAGAATTGAATTCATTCTAATAAATTATAATTTAGACACATATTAACTAAGCTAATATGATTTTGTATAAAATATATTTGAATATTATTGTTAGCCATGCAAGAGAGATGCTTATATGTTGCATTTCTCCTATAGAGAAGCGTATTGAAGAATGTGCTATAAATTAGATATTAGAAACATAACATGGTGATTTATAAAATTAATTTCAATCTCCCACCCTATAAATTTGAGATAGATTTACATGTGAACTTTGAAAAGTAGTGAAATCTCATATTTCAAGCCAAATAATCTAATTTATTAAGTAGATTTCAATTCCCCTTAGTATTATTTATGACTGCACATATATTTGAGTAGAAGAATATGCAATATAAACACTAGATAGTATGAGTCTACAGTTATAAACCATGTGAGTTTAGTGTATCATTATAAAATTTTAGATTTTTCTTTCGAACACCATCGAAATTACTGAAAATTCATAAAATTTCAGCGAAATTACGCCAAAATTTTGAACCCTGAATCGACCACAGAAAGAAAACCATGATTGGACTTTAGAGTGGAGAAATTCCAACAAACAAAAATATACGACAACTTATGACGTAGGACCTCCACCTAACAAAAATAGCATTCTAGTTTATCTTAAATCAAGTTTTTTTTAAGTTTGATCGAGTTTATTGTTTACATTAAAACTCGTTAAACATCTAAGCACGCCACATACAACAACCTATACTCCTCGCTTTGCTTTTCTCGCTGCGTAAATCGGCTTGACTAACTTTGTCTTCCTTTGCTTGATGATCGTCGAACATACACCGAGAAGGATACTTGTCACACCTTCGTGGTGAGGGGCGGTGAAGTTTATTGTTGGATAAACTAATACACAAACATCATCATATGCGGTGGAATTAAATTCCACTCTATTGCATATTTATTTCATGTTTGTAGAGTACACTGTCAGAGGATATGTATAGGCAAGGGTGTCTTCGACTTCCTCTCTATATTCCCCTTTTTACCCCTGGTCCTTAAATTACAAGCAAAATCATTCTTCGGGCCTTACAAAGGTGCATCCATCATTTACAAACTCAACTAAGTCCTCCGAAGTCACCAAGATGTTTGATAGGCTTCGAGAGTCTTCGTTCGTGGAACCTTCGCCATTTGAGCCTTCATGAGCTTCATTCAACTTTTGTCACTATTAACTGAAGATGACCAATCATCTTCGGTCCCACGTATCAGCTGACTTCGGAATCATCACTTTTCTCCCCACCTTCGCAACCATCTACCAAAGGCTTCCCTCTTCTTGTCTTTAGGAGCGAAGCCATCTTGAAAAGCGAAGATGGATCGATCAAGAAGCCATCGAGTTGCGACTTTAGGGACTGCATTATCCAAGGTTGAATCACCACCAGTAGCCCCTCATGGGCAAAGGTCTGGTTCCATGAAATCTTTGATTTCAACCGAAGGTATATCGTTGTCTCTAAACTTTAGAGTTAGTGAAAGCCCTAATTTGGTTTTGGCTAATTGATGAAACCTATTGGACTAACCCTATGTCTAAGTGTGTTTATGGTATAGGTTGGTCCAAGTCCAAGTGATGGATGTTGGCATTTCTTAGCGTAATCACCAAGTGTGGAGGTTTTAAGTCCATCCTCGGCAACGACGCCAGAAATGTCTGTTGTTATTTCTTAACACCATCACTAAGATTGAGTAAACCTTAGCGACATCACCAAAAAACACCAACTACAATAGTTCTTAATGATTATAGAAAATATTCGCAAGCGCACAGATCTATCGTTGTAGCATTTCACCTAGAAGTATTCAGGGTATTATTATTTATATTTTCCCAAATGAGGGTAAGGTGTAAGAGTCTAGCATGAGCATGAACAAGATTACATACTTGCATAGTGGACCATAGTCATGACAGGGGTAAAAATGGTATTTCAAGGATAGTGGACACACATCTGAGCCAACCTCAAGGATAAAAGAAAAATAAAGAATAAAAGAATGTTCCTATGTGGAGCTGGCATGGTCAAATATAGCCGTGCAATGAATAAGTGATGATCATACAAATTACATGGTTAGAGCTAGAACTGAGTGTAAGATAGGTTGGGAGGCCATCGAGTACTGGTCTGTCAGCATCCTCGTGTGACAATTTAGACTCCTACATCCTATCCGAACATGGGGGATTACAAGGGACGGACAGGGATGTCACCACCTACCGCCTACCCCTCAACCGGAGAGTAGGAAATGCATTCACCTGTTTCTCCATACCCAAGCACCATGCTCGCGTACACAGAAACTACCAAAATTCCCCTGGGTCCCTGACCCTATGGATCGACAGGTAAACAACTTAGGCACACCCAAAGGCACGATGAACCACCACCTCAACTTAGCTCTAATTCTACTCATATAAGTTATATGAATGATTAAGTATAAAGTTCTACATGTCAAGATCATAACACACAAACTATATGCTAGTCATATATCATGATTATAACATGAGAACTATAGTCTAGTTTATATGCATTGCTATATTGATAATATGAGAACAAGGCTATGGAAGAACTCTTCATAGTATTCATACCAAAGTTGCTCTTCTTCCAAGGAGCCAAGCCCTCCTTGATAGCTTTGCTAGCTCACAAAAGACTACTAAAGTGAAAATACAAGAAGTGGTAGTGAGGTAGAGGCTTCAAATGTTGGTGTCTGTTGAATGGTAAGCTCCTCCCTCTCTTTTATAGTGGCTGATGGTTGGTTTGGCCTCAGTAAATTAGGAAACCGCCTGAAATCGACCAAGCATGCCGCCATGCAACCGCCTGCGAAGGCTGGGCCTAGGCTGCGCCGCCTGGGGTGCGGGCGCACCCAAGGTGCGGCCACACCCTTGCTGGCTTGCCTGGCCACCGCCTTTGCCAGGTGGGCTGGTGGCTAGGCTTGGGCCCCTCCTACGTCGGTGTTCTATCCAGGTAAGTTGCGTAGGTGGGCTTCTCTACTTATTTCTCTTGCGCGTTTTTGCATTACGCTTTCCGAATTGCGCCTTTTGCTTGGTTTTCCACTTGTATTTAAATGTGTGTCCTGCAAAACATGTTTTCTCCAATACAAGTGGAACTCTGTCAATAGTAA